GGAACTGTTCCGGTCCTCCACTCATCAGGAAGTAGTCCTTAATCCGATCGTCGGTCTCATCGATCCAATACTCATATAAAACATATTTAATTAAATTATGGGTTGTATTTAAAATATCCATTATTGATAGTTGTGTTTAAATTTTACAAAGATTTGATTAATTGTGTAATTACTATAATAACTAATGGTATACTGTATACTCATTTAACCAAGTTTTTCATTCAATTACATTATCATTTATAATCAATGATTATATTAAATAATTTTTTAAAATTTAATATTAATAAAAGAATTTATTGCACAAAATAAATTATCTCTAAAAACTATTTTGAAATAATTAAGAAATTTTACCTGATCATTTGTATATTACATAATCATATAAATTACCTTTAAATTGAAAGTTGTAAAAATCAATAAAACTGAAAACCCAATTAATTACAATTAAAATAAAAGATTATATTCTTATGGCGTGAGCTCTGGTCGAGACTCGCCGATAGAGAATAATGTCGTGGAAGAGTGATGTGAAGGGTTTGCTCTCTGGCCAACTGTTTTAGGTCAGAGAGTGATCACACAAATCGTGGCCAGAGGTGTGGTGGAGTGACGAGCGGTGATGAGTGGCGCGCGCGTGAGCTATGCAAATGTCCTGATCGGGTAGTTTGATGTGAATGCCCGGCGCGGCGTATGATTGAGTCCAAACTTTGATGCAATGATTTGATCAGAAAACTTCTGGTTGATTTCGATTAGAATATTTCTGATCGAAATGGATGGCTGGCAGACAATTGTACTTTTGTCTCCAGAGTGCAGTTTAAATGATTTCAATTATGATTACTGTTTGGTCAACGAGTAGTTTATTTTAGTCACAATGAATGGATAACAAAATAAGTATAACTGAATTAAAAGCACAATAAAATGGTATAAGAAATATACGATAAAAGCTGGTCCAAGATATGGCCGATTAGCTATGATTAAGACATGAAGTGCTGGTCCAAAGGTATGGCCGGTGAGCACATGGATAATGGAGTAATGATTGGCACTCAGATAGAGTGGAGTCAGTGGAGCGACTGGACAGTCGAGGGCTCAGACAAAGACTGAAGAGAGCACATGAAAGCACTGCTCTTTTATACAGGTATTGTATGTGAGAAATGGGCTAAAGGTTAGGGAAAAACTGTTGGAAAAGGACTGGTATGATTGGGTGACACACAAAGCATACAGTTTGAAATCAATGGAAAATTACAGTTTTAAACCAATAGAAAGTTTAGGATATATGAGTCATGCGATCCATATCAATATATAACAATCAGAGCATTGCATTTAACGCCTATTTGTAGTAGTTTTTGGTTCAAATTACTCGATATAGTGTGCAATATATTTTTGATTGGCGACCACTGTATACCTGTAATGCTATTAAAGCCAGATATAGTGAATATAAAGTGAATATTCGATATCGTGGCCAAAGTGTTGCTATTTTAACAGAATAACTGTTTTCACACTATTCTAAAAACTTCTCCAAACACTATATCGAGTGAAAAGTGTTTAATCGCCACAAATGCCACTTTAATTCCTTAATAATTTAGTCAAATAAATGCGAATCAAGTGAACAGACACTATATTCAGTGACTATTTGGGATCTTTCTAATCAAATCAAACTTTATTAGAATCAATAGAAATTATATAAATCCATGATAAAAGTACATAATTCTATAAAACATTAAAAAGATGATAAAATTGCAAAATAAATAGATTTAATGAAATATTCAATGCAATGCTCTGATAAGTTGATTTAGTTTAAATTGCAAAATCAGTCATTTGTTCAGAGCTATAAAGTATAGAGAGATTCTGAATGAGTGGTAAAAGCGCTACAATTGCAATACAAACGTCGAAATTCAAGTTTTCCAATTTGGAAGAAAGTATTGTACTGTATCCCACTCGTTTGTAATCTTTGTATCTGTGAATCATTTAATGTACGAATTTGAAACTGCTTTAAATGCAATCGCAATGAAACTCTTCGACAATTGCTCTGAACTAATCTCGAACAGAGTTGGAAACATAGACTGAAGCTGTGATTCGCCGGTGGGAGGCGGGGCAACATTCTTCATGCAAGACAAACATTGTTTTCGCATTTTTCGTCGAAAACAAACAGTGAAATGAAAAGTGCTTTTATTTGAGATTTGAAAACACAGTAAATGCCGGAAATAAGGAAAACAAACTTAAGGGAACTTATATCCGACACATAGAAACACTGAATATATAAACGGGTCCTTAGAATCGCGTGAATCCAGAATTGAACGCAAATGCAATCTTTGCGATAGTTTTGCAAATAGGAATGCCATTTGACGTGAGTTCCAAAAGTCCACACAATTGTCCACTTCAGTGCTCATAGGGTTAGCGTTAGGCCAGTGCCGCATTGGCCGCAAGGGCGCGCTCTTGTCGTTCTTTGCAAACTCGCATAAAAGTTCCAAAACAAACGTCTCGCGCTTTGAATGATTGTTTAAACTAACTGTGATTTGTTCGGCAGACGGAAACACGTACAACAATGAGTGCCAAATGGCCAGAAGCGCGTGCGAGAAGCGGCAGGAGTTGACGGCGTGAGCGCTTCCACTCTTTCCAACCAATTAACTCCTCTTTAGTCTCTTTTACGGCCAGTGCGACGACGAGGACCGGTGGGAGGGGTCGGCGGCCGACAACTGCCGCCAGCCGTGTCTGTTCGGCGCGAAGTGCGCCGCCGGTGCCCGTTGCGAGTGTCACGTGAGTAGACAACTCCTGTTCGCCAACCAATCAGCGCTCTCCCCCACAGTTCCGCTGCTCTGACGTCACGTCGGGTCGCGTTTGCGGACTTCTCGCGAACAACGAGACGCGTCTCTATGACAACGAATGTCGTCTTCGCGAAGAGAGTTGTCGAAGGCAGCAATCGATCGCCAATTGTTCCCAACTTTGCGGCCACTCGTCTCCCGTCTGGCGCTCGGGACGCCCTCTGGCGTGCGTCGGCGGCGGCGAGTGTCCGCCCAACAGCGGGTGTGTGGGCGGCGTTNGCGGACACAATCACCACATCCTTTGTGGCCAAAGCCGAGCCATTAAACCACGTTTGAAATATTGAGCCCACACTGAGTGCCCCTCCGTGTATCCAAAACATCACTGGCTTTAATGCTGTGGTATTTGTTGTCCATATGTTAAGCACCAGACAGTCTTCGCTCATACCTGTGCCCGCAATCACTGGCATAACATTATTTGGTTGCATACATGAGTTTTTGGCTTTTGTCGCGTCGATTATATACTAAAATATAAGTTATTATTTGTTAATTTTATGTAAAAGTACTTTATTAAAATAACCAAATTAACCCTAGATAAATAGTTATTTATTTATCATGATTGTTATTTATTATATTCTTAAGGTGTCGTTCTGATTGAGTGCAACCTTAAGGAATAAATGTCGTGGAAGAGTGGTGTGAAAGGTTTTGCTCTCTGGCCAACTGTTTTAGGTCAGAGAGTGATCACACAAATTGTGGCCAGAAGTGTGGAGGAGTGACGAGCGGTGATGAGTGGCGCGCGCGTGAGCTATGCAAACGTCCTGATCGGGTAGTTTGATGTGAATGCCCGGCGCGGGTAATTGTCCTCTAATTACCCTGAGTGGGTAATTGTCTTCTAATTACCCTGAGTGGGTGATTGTCTCCTGATTACCCTGAGTGGGTGATTGAGACAAAATGTGGTTTCTGGCCAAACGTACTGTTGGCCAGAAAGTGAGTTCAACGACGGGCGCGTTGATAATGATTGGGACACCAAATAAGTACTGTTTGGTCAACGAGTTTATTTTAGTCGCAATGAATGGATAACAAAATATGAATAACTGAATTTAAGACACAATTAAAATGATTGTATAAAATAAGATAATTGAGTTAAAATTGGATGAAGTGCTGGCGCAAGATATGGCCGGTGAGCACATGGATAATGGAGTAATGGTTGGCACTCAGATAGAGTGGAGTCAGTGGAGCGACTGGACAGTCGAGGGCTCAGACAAAGACTAACTTGAGAGCACAGAAAGCGCTGCTCTTAAATACAGGTAAGTATTGGGCTAAAGGTTACAGAAAAACAGTTGGAAACTCAATGCTGTGATTGGTTTCCTATGAGGCATACAATTCAAAACTTAGGGAAAATTACAGAATTACGTCTAATAGAAATTTTAGGACACATGTCGTGTCAATATTTTTATTTATTTAGTATGTAATTTAGGGTAGACTTACGGGAAATGGTTTAGCAATGGGTTGGGGTTTTGCGAACCTATGTTTGCCGACCGGGGGTTCGGCGTATGGAATGCCCACAAACTGATCCACATTTGTGTCCAACACATGTAGTGTCCGACCCCTCACAACACCGATACTTGTCTTTACATCAATACTATTCACATTATTTAATGTGAAATATAATATACTTATTGCGATAATGTAATTAAAATACAACATTTTATTTTAATATTTTAACAGGTGACATTTACAAATAATTTTTTATTTCATTTAACAATAATAGCACTAGATATAATTTAATCTCTGCACTTATATTCTTTATTATTTAAGTTAAAAACTGTATTTTAATCAGCTATTTCAACAAAATGTCAATAACAGCGATATGCAGTATTATTTTTATATGTGTATATCTTAATTTTAAACCTAAACATTATCTCTAGATTAATGTTATCTCAATAGCTGTTTAACATTCTATGGATAACAATATTGCCATTAATGAGTAGGTTATATAATTTTAAAAGTAATAAATACGGTAAAAAATTATAGTCAACTATACAAAATTAATTTGCTGTTAAACTTTTATTATAATTTATAAAATAAAATTTTTGTAATTATAAGTATGCATAAAAATATTTTTGTTCTCATAACTTACTGTAAATTTATATTACATAAAGTCTTAAATCAAATATTACAATGAGAGAGAGAGAAAGAGAGAGAGAGAGAGAGAGAGAGAGACTGGAATTAGCTTTTTAAATAGGGTCATATTTGAGTGCCCCTCCGTATATCCAAAAATAAGGGTCAACTGTGGGTCACTTTACCCCACATTTAATAACACAATATAAATAGTTATATTTATCTCTATTTGTTTTAAGGCATAAATTGGTGTTAGAATTAAGAAATATTTAGTAACAAAACTTATACACAAACTATTTTTAACACAACATTATAACTGAAAACCCATTTGTATTTAAGTGTCCATTTGATTGACACACATCAGCAGAACTGATCAATTGATTTATTTACAATATAATAGACAACTAAAGACACACATAAATGATTTATACAGAGATAATCATCGCCAGTGTGGCCATCATTGCGGGCACTGTTGGCAATGAGGTTGTTGTCAATCATACTTCACATACGGTCTATTTGGATGAATTCAGTGGCTATCGATGCAATGATCCGTTTAACGCGTTTATCAACGCCACTGTATATCCAAAACTATACGAGTGTTTGGGCGCCGGAAAGTGGGAGACGTTCAACCTGTCAACCCTACCTCTGCCATCAGAGTTGCCAGCATTTTGTTGCTTTCATTATGTAGTGATGAGTATTGAGCAATCATTGGTAAGTAATAATAATATGAACATAATATAAAAATTTATTTGAATGATATATTTAAAATGTCATCTGGTCATACCTAATTTATAAATCTAACCACCACCATTTCTCTGGCCAATATACAGACTAACAGGTATTGTCCGTACCGTTTAGGGTTTCACAATCTTGTTGAGAACGATTACTATTATTGGTGCCAGAAAAGTGGTCACCCTATTAGCGACAAATACTGCCGCCAACGGCCCGAATATCGGCCATTAGCACCAGATTGTGGTCAATTCGTGTACAATTTGCTCGATGTGTCGCACCCTTTACTGGTGGCCAACGATTGGCTCTGCGATTGTCGGCCGACAGTCACTACTCGTAGCCCATCGACTGGCGGTACGGCTGACCGCCCGGCGCTCAACACAACTGCTTTAGCGATAGTATTAGCGGCGATAGTCAATGGCTTTTAAACTCCACTTAAATTAATAGTATTGCTAATTTTAACTAAAAATTTTTATATAATTTTATTTTTGATGTAATGGTATTGAATTTTAATGTTGTCGATATCATACATTATAATTTGATTTCAATTGTTTTGCAATTTAAATTTCCATCATATACATTATATTTAATGTATAACTGTATTTAATGTATGTTGTTATACATTTGATATAAAAAGGTAACATATCAATAAAATTTCCTTTATTCACATTTAAATAAACAATTATATTAAATGTTAAAAATCTATACTTTAGTTTATATATACGGTAAATAACCAATATGCTAATCCATTTACATTGGCCATTAAAAGTTTATTTGTCAGCTCCAGTTTGCTGCTGAAAATATACAATAATCTTAAGTAAACATTAAAATCAAGTCATCACCACAATTATTATTAATAAAACTTTTACATTAAAATTAAAAACACATACGATAGAAGACTTTATAACCTCCAATAGATAAGTGTAAATATCTCGAAACCCCCATTGAGAATTAATGGCTGATCGCTAGAATATTAATATTTAATAACAATTATTTCTAAATAACAGTTATTATTATAATAAAAATAAAAATAAAATAATATTGTTAAATCAATATATCCGTAATATATAATGTTTTCTTAAGCATCATGTTGGTGGTAATTTTAATTATGTATGATATACTACACATTAAAAATATCTTAATGTATATCGAATTATT